AGTAAATACTAGAGCATTCGCCAAAGTACAGGATAGTTCTAGAAACGTGGCGTCACTGTAGTCACGTGACTCGCTGACGCAACAATATGATGGATAGGGATTATATTGCACCTGTCAATAGACAGGGTGCCACCAGTTTTTTGTAGATTTTCAACACTACTGACTGAGATGTAACCTACACTTTTATTGGTGACATGTATGCTTCACTCTAGTTGTTGATCACAATACCATTTCCTTCTTTGTCATAACACAAATTACTTTTGATTGTTTTGAAATTGAATTTATTTGTAAAGAGTACCCTCCTCCAGCTTTGGTCATCCATTGTTTAAAGTCAGATGCTCATTTAAGCCTTTGGGTTTGATTCTCTCTCTCTCTCCTAAACAGTGGTTTTTAAACAGATACATATCCAATGAAGTGAGGTCACATCATACCAATGTGTATCTTACTGTTTTGGTGGTAACATTCACACCTGTTCTTGCATATAGGTTATTGGCAATATTGCCACTGAATTTTTGTTTATCACATAAAGATCATACCATGAGTTACAACATCACTTTTGAAAAGTTCTGATTTTCTTTCTTGATTACTTCTAGCATCAACAGCATTTCACATAAGTCCTACTGAAACAATAAATTTTGCATCAATTTGTCACATAGAATAGTATTTACTATCCAACTGATTTATACACATTTTAACATGATATTTCTGTCCTGAGAGCCGTGAATATAACTCTGCACTGCTACTGGGAATAGTATGACTACCTGTACTTTTTTAGGCAATATGCTGATGTGACACTGTCTGATTATGTGGATGACAGCCATTAACATGTGATTATACTTAGGTTCATTTATACAGTAGAAGGGGAGCGTTCCCATAATTTTTACATTTTATATCCCTTTAATTCACTACTTCCACAATTATTTCTAGTACTGTAGGTATAACAGACAAATCTGTTTTAGAGACATTTAAATTCTTTTTCCATTATTATATCATTATGTAGGTTCAGAAAGTGCTGATGCCTACCATCCTCCAATTTTGAATTTTGCTTCTTCATATATTGATGTTTCATCCAATTCAACACTGGAGATCGAATGTGAAGGAAAGTATTCATTAACATGGAAACTACCAGAGAATTTGGTAAATATATTTCTTTTAACTACATATATATAAAGTTTAGTCTACTGATACATCCACTGCAATACTAAATTCCCCCTTCCTACTTTTGCTTTCAATAGAAAACTTGTTTATATTTAGTTTCTTGCAAAAAAAAAAAGTTATGTCCAGAAAAATGTGCCAGTGATATTCTTAATTTTTAATTTTGTTATAGAATATATCCTCAGTTCAGTATTCTTTTTTTTGTTTTGAACATGTCTTATTGGCTAACTGGATACAAAGAGTTTGTATTGCTGGACATCATCAATATCTGGTAAATGACCTCCACTTGGAAGTGAGGTTAAATCTCATCTTTACTGTTTTGTGTTCTAGGTTATTATGTTAATGTGTAATATAATTCTTGATTGTTGTATTTTTTTAATTATATATTTTGTTCTTATCCTTTTAACAATGTGGATACATTTTAGAAGTAAATTCCATCATTAGGTGAATAAAAAAAAAAATCACTTGCAGTTAATGCAAGGTAGTTCTTTCAAGTTGCAAGCAATTCAGCTTTTGCCATCTATTGGCTGTGGTAATTATCTGACCCATTTCTTGCCTATGCAGTAAATTCTCAACCCTACATGGATACATCATATGCTGCCAGTACATTTGACTGTTTATACATGGTACTGACCATGCAAACATCATACTGGAAAATTGTGTTGTGGCCAGGATAAATCCTTCATATTTTTATGCTAGGGCAGCTGAATACTCAATGATTGTTTGTTCACACGAATTGCATGTAAATACTACTAGCCAGTTCCACACAGTACAATGTGGTGCTTAATCTAAATGATTCATATGACAATATATCTACCTTATCATATACATAAACACCAGTGTCTGTCTGTGTGAAACATAAGTAACTTTACAAGCCAATAAATGGCACCTCAGTACTTTATTCTTAGTGTTTTTCACCATTGGTAAGTTTTTTTAGAAAATCTAATAAAAATTTATAAGCATTTTTTATGAAATGTTATACTTTTATGGGCTTTCCCTTGACTCTCTAGTTCTTTGCCTTTACCATCACACTTAATAATTTGCAGAGTCAGACATTTTACCTTTTAGGAATATTTTATCCAGAACTGGTTTTTTTCACATGGTCAACTTGATACAGCTTTATCAAGAAGCGTATTTGGACATAACCTCAAAATATATATAATAAGTCCAAATTCTAATCAAGGACGACTTGCTAGTGATGATAAAATGTACACAAAAATTGTTGTTTTTAGTAAAATACTAAAGGCTGGTGATCCTCAACTATCCAACGAATCAATAACATTCTAAGCTAATTCAAGTTCTAAATTTTCAAAACTTAAAGAAATAATTAAATCAAGCAAATTGTCAAATGGGCAAAAAAGACTTTGGTTGTATTGAGGTATAACATGCTGGCCCAACCATTTTATTTTGATACTTGTTTGCTAACCCTGATGAGTGATAAAATTATCTCAAATTTAGAAATGCTTCCTACCTCACTGTGCCACTAAGAGCTATTACTTCACACGCATCTGCCATGGAATTTCCTGCACATGCCTTGCAGAAACTGCCATTCCAATACGTGTATATGTGTATCGTGCCAACCTATGATGTATTTGTCAGAATGCTGTAACTCTCCACCAGTAGAAGTTGCCACGACCTCAATATGTGTTAATACCCATGACCATTAGCACATGATCATAGGTGCATTCTTTCCTTGGCATGTGTTTTTTCCTGTGCTTTTTGAGTTTATTGTCAGTTCAATCGACTGACTTTCTTTTTAGTGCTACATTGCTTTTGTCCTTGTAGCACTTTTTTTCCATCCACCTGATTACAACTTCTTTTTCTCTACTCATCAGATTTCTACTTTAGGCTTTTTTCAGTAACATATGACACACAAAATACTTACACAAAAACATCCCAAAGCTCATATAGTCCTTTTCAGGTATTTTCTCAAACTAACTCAATGGCGACAGGAGGCACTATCTGTTTATTGACCTTACTTTCAGTTGTTCTCCCTTTGGCTCATTTAGTAGAGCACACTTATGCATGTGACAGGTCTCTGATTTCACTCAATGGTGAGATATTCTTGATGTCATTAATAATTTCCACAACCTTATTGGGATATGATGAACTATACTGTACCAACAAGCTCACTGATGATGTTCCTGCTTTCATGCATCAGGTATGTGGTCCCCTTCTGCTTGTTAATTCTCCAGTTCAGGTCTCCAGTCATTTTGTTTCTTTGTCTTCTGTGGAGCCTGTGTTACCCGTGGACGATTTTAGCCAGCTTTTCATTTTCACCTACAGTTTCTAGTGTTGTAAGTCTTCTGTGACACTGGGGGTCATTAAAAAGTGAACATAAATTAATAAAAACTTGTACACTCCTTCAGTGAAAAATGAAAAATAATGCAGTAATAATCTTAATTGACCTAGATCATCATGGCTCCAACTATAAATTAAAATTGTAATTAAAAAAGACAGGATATTTTTCCTATAGGTGCCCTCTGTCATTTTTCAGTTAATCATTATTTAGAAAAATTTGAACCATGATAAAACATTATTTTTGTAATAAAGTATTCTAGAGTTGTTACTAATAACTTAAAGGGGTATAATTGAAAGATTCTTTTGTACGTTTGATTAAAGTAGGCCATAGACTTAAGATTGAATGCTAGTTATGGAAGTTTGTAAATCTAAATTTCATTTCGGGAATCACAGTCAATGCTAAAATTTATATATTTCTGTATAATATTTTTGAAATATAAATTCACTATAAAATGTAGATATCTGGCAGTTTATTTTACAATAATTTGGATATTAGCATTGAGATTGGGTTGTGTGTGTGTGCTTCCAAATTTATGAAAAGGAAATAAAACAAAAATTGCCATCATGCAGTAGAATATTTATTCACATAAGTGTAATTTTTTAATAGATTTCAAAAAATCCAGAGTGTGTAATGCTAGGAATGAATCTGATACTTTTATCTTAGAAACTTGATCGAAATAACTTTTATTGTTATTTCTTTTTATTAAAATTTGTCAAAGTTAAACTGAAGTAAAACATAAAATAAATTAGGTAAGTGTTTGTATATAATGTAATTAGTGATAAAACATACATCAAACTTAAAAAAAACCAATTGTAAGAATTTTCTTGATGGGCTACGTTTGGAATTTAAAAAATATACATAATTTTAGAGAAAGGAACCTACCTTTGTAGCTCAGCAAATATTTCATTATTCTTTTATTTTTGTTAACAGGATATAAGCTTGAAAGACAATAAAGAGCGTATAAACATATCCTATTCTTCTGACCCCATCAGAGGCACGAACCAATATGTTAGCACATTGGTTATTAAAGATTTGGTTTTCAGTGATACTGGAAAATATACCTGCTGTTATGCTGGTACCAGTTCAACTGGAAATGATAAGCAAAATAAGACTTCAGTGTATGTATTTGTAAATGGTAAGTGTATAATACAGACTAAATATTTTGAAAGTAGTATATTACTCATTGCATTAAATGGTAATATTATTTTACTTTTCTTAAGATACTGTAAACACAAGCTAAGATAGATTTTAATCAAGTGTCATTAATATTGACAAATGTACCTACCATGAGTCCCTAGATTAATACATTTCTTATTCATGTTCAGTAATTTTCATAGATTATAGTTATGACTTGTGAGTGTGAAGAAAAAGAAAAGTATATTTTTCCTTTAATTCATTATTTGGTAACACCATTCCTATGTTAAAAAATGGTCCATATCATCCATTCAATGCATGCATGCTATAATTTATATCATAAGTTCAATGCAGAAAGATGTATTAAGTAAATACCTAAACAACTAAAATAAAGTTATTGAATGTGTCTTAAAAATGCCATGAATTTAAAAAGGTAAACTGTATAGTTTAATGCCACCATTTCCCAACAAAATGCATTTTTCAGGTGGGGGCAAGAGCCTCCTCTTGCTGTCCCCCCTGCAGATGCCCATGACTGTAGTTGTGCCTGAGTTTTTATGAGTCAAAGTAAATTGCCATTTCAGAAATAGTAATTTAACCATTTTCTATAGTTTCATTTGTTTAAAGTTATAACCATAAGTCACAATCAAAAACAAACTATATAACTTGACATTCAAACACTAAGAGAACATTAAAATAAACTATCATTACTACTAAACACTCATGAAAATAACATTGTTTTACATTAAACTAGTTTTTGGAGGCTTTGTGTTTTTTTACTTGACAATATATTTGTACAATTTGACCAATATGTCTTGACAAAACCAATACATGGAATACCTGTGCAAGGTAAATTCAGCTCATAAATTGCAGATTTATATTTATTCAAATTTGAATTTTTGTACATTACAGATATCAGTAAGAAAGACTGTAACAAAGCTTTGCACATCAGATGCATATGTAAATATATTAATGACAACTTTTTACAAATTTTTAGCCAAACAAATTCATCCACCAGATCTCACTTTGTAAAAACCTCTATCACCAAGAAAATGAAGTACATAACTTAACATTTTGGGACAGCATGAGACCTATTGATCCATCTTGGCTGTTCCATCCTCTAAACTAAATTAGAATAATTAACAACAAACTTGACCATGTCTTATTTCTGTTTATCCCAGGCACCATTCTAGTAACCCTTCTCTGAACCCATTCCAACAATTCAATGTCTTTCCTAAGGTAAGGAGCCCAAGTTTGAACACAGTTTTCCAAATCTGGCCTAACCAGTGACCTTTACAATGAAATTATAACCTCTTTATACTGGTATTCAGTATTTCTGTAGATACAACCTAAAATCCTATTTGTCCTGCCAGTAGCAACAGCACATTGCTTGGATGGCTTTGGAGACTATTACACCAAGATACTTTTCCTTCATACACTGTGTAAGGTTATTCCCATTCAAATTATGATAACCCACATGCATTATATTGCATTTATGATAATTAAAACCCATCTGCCATTTATTTGTCCAACTCACTAAATGATCGAAATCCTTTTGTAAATCGGCAGTATCTTCTTCACAGCTAGCAACACCCAAGACCTTAATATCATCTGCAAATTTAAATAATTTATTGACTATTCCTTCATTTATATCATGGATGTAAATAAAAAAGAGCAAAGGTCCTAAGACTGAGCCCAGAGGTACTGCAGTGTGACTGAACTCCGTTAGTCACAACCCTCTGCTTTCTTCCATCCAGCCACTATTCTATCCAATTTGCTAACTTATCTCCCAAACCCTTAGAGATAATTTTTTTTTTACAAACCTTTTATGTGGCAAATTTTTAACTGCTTTCTGAAAATCTAGATACACCAAATCTACACCGTTACTCTCATCTACATAAGCAGTAACCTTTTCAAAGCATGTCAAAAGATTTGTAAAGCAAGATTTTACCTTAGTGAAATCATGTTGACTATCCAATAAAATTCTAAATTTTGTTAAATGACTTTGCAAAGCATCTTTTAACAGACTTTCCAAAACTTTTCCTTGAAAAGAGGAGTTACATTAGCTAACTTTCAATCTTCTGGTACCTGCTCACTATTCAAGGACTGACAACTTTTTACAAATTTTAAGCCAAACAAATTCATCCACCAGATCTTACTTTGTAAAAACCTCTATCACCAAGAAAGTGAAGTACATAACTTAACATTTTGGGACAGCATGAGACCTATTGATCCATCTTGGCTGTTCCATCCTCTAAACTAAATTAGAATAATTAACAACAAACTTGACCATGTCTTATTTCTGTTTATCCCAGGCACCATTCTAGTAACCCTTCTCTGAACCTATTCCAACAATTCAATGTCTATCCACATTTCCTTTTAACAAGTATCCAATATTTCTGTAGCTACAACCTAAAATCCTGTTTGTTTTACCACTATCAACAGCACACTGCTTGGATGACTTAAGAGATTGATCAACTTTAACCAAATCATTTAATTATCAGTTACATTTAGAGCCCAAGTACATTAAAGTGCTCGAGTTTTGGGTCTTATTTTAAGTTTATTACACTTT